TGTGGGGTCAGGCCTCCCTCATCAACAGCATTGCTCCCTCAGTTAGTGTCTAGAGCAGCGGTTCTCACCCTTCCCGATGCCGCGACCCTTTCAGACAGTTCCTCATGTGTGGTGACCCCCCCTCCCAACCATAACATTGTTTTCATTCCTACTTCATCACTGTCATTTTGCTATGGTTATGAATCGTAATGTAAAATCTGATATGCAGAATGTATTAGGCGACCCCTATGAAAAGGCCGTTCGGCCCCCAAAGGGTTCGAGACCCACAGGTTGAGAACCGCTGGTATAGAATGTGGAGCAGCCTGTAAATGCAGAAGATTTCCGGACTGCACAGAGCGGCATAATACAGAAAAAGTAGAATAAGGATTCTACTGACCAACACGTATCCTGCTGGCTTCTTTCTAACTCTGGCCTGGAGTCTTTAGGGACAGAGCACCTCGCCGGAAGAGGTGCCCCTGGTTACGAAGACAGCGTTTATCGTCCATCACGTCGGATGTAAGGGTGGGAAAATATCCCATTGAGTTTTCCAACAGCCCTGCACTCTGACAAGGAGCACTGGTGGTACAGGGGGCCAAGTATTGGGCTGCTAACCACCCACTAACCACCCAGCAAAAGAAAGATGAGGCTCCTGCTTCCAGAAACACTTGGTCTTGGGACCCTGCAGAGCAGGTCTCTGTCCTGTAGGGCCGCACGCACCAGAGCCACACGGTGGCACCATGGGGAGCTTCACAGGTTTCAGTGTCTGGACAGCTGTAAAATCCGTGGACTGGTTTCCAAACCTTCGTAAGCAATCCATTTTGTGCTGAGGCCTTCTAGTTGCTATGACTACATTCTCTATTTTTTACATTTTCATTGGCATCTAATCCACATACCATGCAATTCAGTAGTTCAATCATATCAAGAAGAATTGTATAATCATTTCCATAATCCATTTTAGAAACACCACCCACCCCCTGGTTAAATTGCCTTTAAAATCTATGTTCTATTTCTTTTGGAGGGAATAAGACGGATAGGTGACCTGGTTAGCTTAAAGTGAAGATTCTCGGCCTTTTATATTAAGGACAGTCTCGCAGAAGTATAGCTACTTCCATCCTAAAACCAGTTGGGAAGAATCCCAGCTCCTCATTTATCTGCATTAGGGGGGAAGAAAAGGAATTGAGACTAGCAGGGGGCTTCAGAAAGTTTGTGGGAAAATTCCATTACTTTTTCATGCCGTTTTCTCGTGAACGTCTGGAACCCCCCTGGTCTTCTCAGTTTCCTTTCCTCTTAACTGTGGGATCCTCTGGACACAGGAAACAAGTCATTAAATGATTCGCCTCCACATGCTCATTTACCAGTTATGTATCTGCTGTTGGAGGTCAGGAAAAAGTATTAAACTAATATTAGTTTATGGCTAATTGATTTCCTTAGTCCCTCGTTTATGCTGGTGATTTGTTGTGGGACCTCGGGTGGAACCAGGGGGCCAGCTCCCTTCTGTGACAGCAGTTAGCTGGTATCCATGGTGGTGTAGGTTAGACCCTCTGATTTCTGAGAACATGTCATGCCTCATAAAAGGACCAGTTCAATGAGTGCAGTCTTGGCCCAGCATCATGTTGACATGTGAAGCAGCCCTGCCACTGGCCCTCCCAGTCCTCTGGATGGTGACCCTCTGATTCATCAGGATTATCAGGCTCTGTGACTTTCTGTCCTGTCATACTCCCGGCAATTAGTGGCCAGCTGGGTTTTTATGGAAACAATAGGATAGGACTGAGTTTTCCCACAGGCTGCAAGGAGGGAGCTCTCGAAGTGTCTGCAAGGTGCGGTGTCTGAGTTGTTCACCTATTTCTAGACTTTTATTTGCCATTGGAAAAATGTATTTGAAGTCATAAGGAAAGTAAATTATTATTAAATTTCAAATACAGAGTAAGCTTGAAGAAACAAATCTTTGAATTCTGGGGCTCTCTACAAGCCAACATCACACCAAAGCCTGGCATTATTCTGCAGGCCCGAGGTACTGAGAGGTGCTCAGACCAAAGGTGGGAGTCTGGCTCTTAGAGGCACAGGCGGCCTGGAAATGGAGCTTTTCACAGACCGTGGGGAATCAGAGAGGAGCCGTGTTCCAAGGGCTTCACTGGAGGCTGCCTAGCCACCTACTCAAGGGAGTTCAGGCGAGTTTCTCGAAAAAGTGGATCTTTACCAAAACAGGTCAAGGGACGGAGCCCAGGCGTGCCTTTGCCTGGGACCCACAGGTGCGCTGACAGCTGCTCAGCAGCCCTTCAAGGAATGCAGCTGCGGGCTTAGGAGGTTGGATGGTCCTTGCTTCCACATGCCCCTCAATTGATGTGACTGGACACCACGTACTGCCAACTTTGAATGCTTGCGGCCATCGCTCCAGACCTCCATCCTACCACCATAAACGGAAGATGCTCTGGAGCATCGAAGAGTTGTCTTCGACTTGGTCTCCTGCAAGCTTTCTTAAAAACAATTAGGTATAAAAATATGTTTGATCTCAAAGGTCTGTTTCCCAACCTCTCTTTCTTTCAGTGCCCGAAGTGACGAAACCAAGTTTAAGCCAACCAACGGCCGCCAGCCCAATTGGCAGCTCTCCATCGCCACCAGTCAATGGTGGCAACAATGCCAAAAGGGTGGCCGTGCCGAACGGACAACCGCCAAGCGCCGCCCGCTACATGCCTCGGGAGGTGCCGCCGCGATTCCGTTGCCAGCAGGACCACAAAGTGTTACTAAAACGTGGGCAGCCCCCTCCACCGTCCTGCATGCTCCTCGGGGGCGGGGCAGGGCCTCCTCCCTCCACAGCACCTGGAGCAAACCCAAACAACGCACAAGTGACAGGAGCGCTGCTGCAGAGTGAGAGTGGGACTGCACCAGGTAAGGGGTCCGGGTCACCGCCGCTGGCTCATGGCAGCTTTTGAGCGAGAGCTCGGCCTCAGAGCCAGTCGTTGGATTATTTCGCCCTGGCCTTGCCTGGTAAAGCACCCAGCATGGTCCGCGATACAGGATGTCGAGATTCTTCTGTGTATCGACAGGGGAGAGGAGCCCAGTGGGAGATGTGCGGAGGTCTTTCTTGCTGAAACTGAGCCTTCCCCTCCTGGAAGTGTGTGCTAGTGGCAGGAGCGACAGACAGCGCTGCTATTTGCCTTCACTACATAGGGCTCCTTTCCCCCTCCGACAAGAAGTACTGCTCTTTTTTTAAAAAGTCATTATAGTGGGGCTCGTACAGCTCTTATCACAGTGCATCATCCATCGTGTCAAGCACATCTGTAAGAAGTACTGCTGTGAGCCCCCACGATTCTGGCTCTTAGCGCCAGATGCTCTCCGGGCAGGACTGGAGGTGGGGCTAACGGAGAGGCTTGTTCTGATCTTCAGATGCCATGGTTGATGATTCCCAGGATGCGAGGAGTAGAGAGAATGGTTTCAGAGATACCAGTAGTAGAATCTTGGGACCATACCAAGTAACAGTCTGTTAGAATATATATATGTTTATTCCTTATCGTCTGCTGGTAGATGTTTTACATCAGCCTTTCTGTAGGGGACGTCAGTTGTGTGGAGGTAAAAATTGGATGTAGAAATAAGCATCTTTAGCTGAGAGGTTCAACTAGATGCCCTGAGAGTTTTTATTGGGTGGATTATAAATCAGCCAAGAATTATCAAATATCCCAACACCCTCCCACCCCCGCTTATTGAACATTTCACTTGATCTCTTAGAACAACTTTGGAGGCCATATTAAAATCCCGAGCTGGGACACCACGAGGGGTGGGCAAGAACAGTGGATCGGTGGTCGGTGGTTACCGAGAGGACGCTTTCTTCTAGCCCTGTGGTGGAACACAGAATTGCCAAGAAAACACTTGTCACCCCCTCCCCTGTGGAGAGAAGCCTCACAGCACCGCCAGCTTCATGCTGCCAGGCCAGCCCCATAACGGGCAGGGAAGGGCCCATGGCCTCCCCTCCTGGCCCCTCATAACAGCTCTGAAAGGAAGTGGGTGAGGGTGGCCACATCAGGCGTTCCTTCAGCTAAGTAGAGCTAGACCTCGAGGTAGACATTAGTCTAATATGCATCACAGCCTCCTGTTTACGTAGCTCAAACCAAGGAAGCCCCTCAATCTCAAGAGTTGGGCAATTGATGCTTTCTTTTATCTGTAATATTTTTTTCCAGTTTCAGGTTTATTTAAAACGGGGTGATTAAAGGAGCTAGCATAGTTGAGAAGAAATTATTAAGTAAAGGCATGTACCAAAAAAAACAAAAAAAAAGCATGTCCTCATGTCCTCTCCCCATCTATGGGGGCATGTGCTGAGCACTCACTCTGAGCTTTGTCCGATTAAGTCCCTCTAGGATATGAGCTCAGTTTGGATCCTGCTTGCTTGATGCTCGCTGCAATGCTTCCCCCTGCCCCCAATGCCCTGGCTCAGTGGGCAATCATCATTCACCATGCTGCACGCTGGCCGCTGTGTGGCTTGAAACATTAGTACCCTGTGGTCTCTGCCTGTGCCAGGGAAGGATCCAAGCCCAGAGACAGTGGCTCTAATGCCAGGCAGGGGAAGATGATTTTCAGGTAATGGGCCCCAGAAGGACCATTTCAGTTTGTGGATTCAGGTGCATAAAAAACAGGGAGTGCCAAGGTGAGAAGGCACAGGTTTTAGTGACTGTCCAGTCTCATGGGCTGTAGACATCTTCATAGAAAGAAAGTACTGGAAGGTAGAGACTGGTTGGTTTCAGATTGTGGATCAAATACCAGCCAAGCCAAGAAGATTAACTTTGTTCTCGGGCACTGGGAGACTGTTGAAGGTTTTACACAGCAGTTACGTAATCAAAGGTGTGCTGTAGAAAAATGGCTCCACCTCCGAGTGTCTAAAATAGATCTGAGACAGAGAGCCAGTTTAGGGCGGCATTGTCAGTGTCTCGAGATAAAAGAAAGCCCTTCTCTGTCAGTTGGAATGGCAAGGAAATAGGTTTGAGAGATGTTGTGGAGTTAGCAGTAGCGCGCCCAAGGCCGGCTGGGGCGGGGTGTGAGGAGTGTGCTGGGGGTAACCTGAGCCTGTCGTGTTGACGGCCGTGATTGACGAAGCAATCTCTTTTCCAGATTCAACCCTCGGAGGTGCTGCTGCTTCAAATTATGCAAATTCCACTTGGGGCCCGGGAGCCTCCTCCAACAACGGCGCCTCCCCCAACCCAATTCACATCTGGGACAAGGTGATTGTAGACGGGTCTGACGTGGAAGGGTGGCCTTATATTGCCAGCAAAGACACGGAGTCTTCTTCCGAAAACACCACCGGTAACAACAGTGCCTCGAACCCTGGCTCTGAGAAGAGCCCTCTGCCAGGAAGCACCACTAGTAACAAAGGAAAGGGGAGCCAGTGCCAGTCTGCAAGTTCTGGGAACGAATGTAATCTTGGGGTCTGGAGGTCCGACCCCAAGGCTAAATCTGTTCAATCTTCCAACTCTTCTACCGAGAGCAACAATGGACTAGGCAATTGGAGGAATGTGAGTGGTCAGGACAGGCTTGGACCTGGCTCGGGCTTCAGCAACTTTAACCCAAATAGCAACCCGTCTGCCTGGCCAGCGCTGGTCCAAGAAGGCAATTCCAGGAAAGGGGCACTGGAAACGGAGAGTAGTAATTCCGGTGCACAGGTGAGCACAGTAGGTCAGGCATCCAGGGAACAGCAGTCAAAGATGGAAAATGCGGGTGTTAATTTTGCTGTCTCTGGCAGAGAACAGGCTCAAATTCATAACACTGATGGACCAAAAAATGGAAACACTAACTCCTTGAACTTAAGTTCGCCAAACCCCATGGAGAACAAGGGACTGCCCTTCGGAATGGGCTTGGGGAACACCTCCAGGAGCACTGACGCCCCTTCACAAAGCACTGGAGATCGAAAGACTGGGAGTGTTGGGTCTTGGGGTGCAGCTAAGGGGCCTTCTGGAACTGACACAGTCTCTGGACAGAGCAATCCTGGAAACAGTGGGAACAATGGAAGGGATCGAGAGGACTCCTGGAAAGGAGCTTCTGTTCAGAAATCAACTGGGTCAAAAAACGACTCTTGGGACAACAATAACAGGTCTACGGGTGGGTCCTGGAACTTTGGCCCTCAGGACTCTAATGACAACAAATGGGGTGAAGGGAACAAAATGGCATCTGGGGTCTCTCAGGGAGAATGGAAACAGCCGACTGGGTCTGACGAGTTGAAAATTGGAGAATGGAGTGGTCCAAACCAACCAAATTCTAGCACTGGAGCATGGGACAATCAAAAGGGCCACCCGCTCCCTGAAAACCAAGGCAATGCCCAGGCTCCCTGTTGGGGAAGATCTTCCAGCTCCACAGGAAGTGAAGTTGGAGGTCAAAGCACTGGAAGCAACCACAAAGCAGGAAGTAGTGACAGTCACAATTCTGGCCGCCGCTCGTACAGGCCCCCACACCCTGATTGTCAGGCTGTCTTGCAGACTCTCTTGAGCCGAACTGATTTGGACCCCAGGGTGCTTTCAAACACTGGCTGGGGCCAAACTCAAATTAAGCAGGACACAGTGTGGGACATTGAAGAGGTGCCAAGGCCCGAGGGGAAAGCTGACAAAGGAACTGAGGGATGGGAGAGCGCTGCCACACAGACCAAGAACTCAGGGGGCTGGGGAGACGCACCCAGCCAAAGCAATCAGATGAAGTCTGGATGGGGGGAGCTCTCGGCCTCCACCGAGTGGAAGGACCCCAAGAACACGGGGGGCTGGAATGACTATAAGAACAACAACTCTTCCAACTGGGGAGGAGGGCGACCAGAGGAGAAGACATCTTCGTCTTGGAGCGAGAATCCCAGCAAGGATCAGGGGTGGGGAGGAGGCCGCCAGCCCAATCCAGGATGGACTTCTGGAAAGAACGGTTGGGGGGAAGAAATAGATCAAACGAAAACCAGCAACTGGGAGAGCCCGGCAAGCAAAGCTGGGTCTGGGTGGGGCGAAGGCGGGCAGAACGAAATCGGAACCTGGGGCAACAGCGGGGCTGGGAGCATCTCTTCCAAAGGAGGATGGGAAGATTGCAAACGCTCTCCAGCCTGGAATGAGACGGGCCGGCAGCCCAGCTCCTGGAACAAGCAGCACCAACAGCCCCAGCAGTCCCAGCAGGCCCCACCGCCACAGCCAGAGGCTTCTGGGTCCTGGGGAGGCCCACCCCCACCCCCTCCGGGCAACGGACGGCCTTCCAGTTCCAACTGGAGCAGCGGGCCACAGCCAGCAGCCCCCAAGGACGAGGAGCCCAGTGGTTGGGAAGAGCCATCCCCACAGTCAATTAGTCGGAAAATGGACATCGACGATGGCACTTCAGCCTGGGGAGACCCCAACAGTTACAACTACAAGAATGTGAATCTGTGGGATAAGAATTCCCAGGGGGGCCCAGCACCTCGAGAACCAAACCTGCCGACCCCGATGACCGGAAAATCCGCATCAGGTAAGTCTGGACTGGTTCAGTTTTTTTTGGGTTTTTTGGCTGGTTGGTTGTCTCGGAAGTTTGGGTGAAACAAAGAAGTCCCAGACCTCAAACGTTTGTGTTGTGCTGCCTTGATTTCCATCTTTCCGACATTGCTGGTGCTTAACTGAAACGGTACTAAAAGCAGTTGGTGAGAGCACGAGCTAATGCTCTCCTTCGCAAGAAGAAAAGATGGCAGCCCAATGGTAGTCCCCACAAGGAATTTTTGAAATTGTACCGATGTGCAGAGCCCCAAAGCCGCCTCGCATCTTTTACACGCCCTGTGCCGTAGATGGAAAAAGTAGAAAGGAGCGAAGTAAGACCCAAGGTGAACCTGGCTCCGTTGGTGGGCCCTGGCTGTGGACAGTCCTCAGCTGCCCCGGCAAAGGGAGATAGCGATCTGGCACCAGGCAGAGTTCCTGGGAAAATGGGGGGAACGATCATGATCATGGAATTCCCCCCCCCCACCCCTGCCAACTTTTGAGATGTCCCTTGTGCTTGTGCTGTGTCCCTGTACACACACACACACACACACACACACACACCACCCCTATCCGCACATGCTGCCTTGCTTCTGCAGTGAAAGGTTGGAGGTGTGAGTCTGTCCCGAGGCCAATGGGAAGAAAGGTCAGACCATTTGCTTCTGAGAAATCAGCCCTTGAGAACCCTAGGGCGCCCAGGTCTGCGGCAGTGCAGTCGAGTCTGCTCACCTCATCCATCAGCAGCTGGTTCGGGGTTCTTCTGGTGGCCGTGAAGCTGGTGTCTGAGTTTTGGTGATTGTGTCTGGAAGTGGAGGACTCGGTGTGAGGGACTGTAGTCGAGTGACAGCTGTCAGGAATCACTGGCATGTGCGGAGGGGCGTCTGGCCGCTCCCACTGTGCATCTGCTCACGGGTGGGCTTCTCTACCCTCTCCACTGGAGTAGGAGACATCAAACTGGGCCAGATCATCTGCCATTGCTCATTTGTTGAGCGTTGTCAGCTCGAATGTTTTTATGAAACATGTCATTCAAGAAATGAAGGGGGGTGGGATTTACCTTCTAAGTCTTTTTTCCCACTTAGCTATAATTAAAATATCAATAGTTTGTCCGCTATTAAGCCTATGTAGGCCTAGTGTTCATAGGAACCCTGGTGGCGATGCCAGGTCAGCTTTGGAATACTAACTGCAAGGTTGGCAGTTCAAAACCACCAGTCACCTCAGGCGGCCTGCTCCTGTAAAGATTTACAGCCTTGGACCCCCTACAGAGGGTCACGATGAGTTGTATCTGCCCGGATGGATGGGAGTGTGGTGTGTGTGGTTCGGTCCCGTTTGGTGGCCTCGTACTCAGCGAATCTTCTTGTCACCACTTAGCCAGTGAGTATTTTTGCCTTCTTTTTAAAAATATTTCAAAAGAGCGAAGAAGGAAATAAAAACTGTAGAAGCTAACCTGATCACTCTTTAGAAAGCATGTGCATACATCAGAACCTTCCAACTGGACTTCAGAGCACAGCGGAATAAATAAGTCTCAACCCCTTGACGTTATCTCCACAGAGAATTTCTGAACTATTGGTGTTTGGCTTAAAATGTGTTCCTGCTTAGAGTACAACACATTGTACATCTGTCCTAAAATTTTATATAGTAGGAATTGTACGATGCATGCTTTGCTGTCCAGTACTTTTTTTCACTACATAAACATACATGTATGTGTGTACATACATACATGAGTATGCCTATCTGTGTTTTCTATATCAGCACATGCAGTTCTTGTAATCACCTCGTTGTTAGTATTCATTTTATGGGATGGCCAATAATTGATATAACGAGTCTCCTTTTGAAAGGCTTGGACATTGCTTGCAATTACTTCTCAAAGAGTGAAGGTGTGAGCAGTGTTGCTCATGATTCCATCTACCTTGACTAGTATGTCCATGATACGCCCTTGGCAGTGGAATCGCGAGGTCAGCAGATTTTAGTTTTGTAAGTGACCTCGTCGAGCATCCGCCATGAAGGCAGAGCCAGTTCTGTGAATGTAGGAGAATATCGGAGGGCCTGTTCCCTCCTCCCTCCCACTAGAGACGCAGTGCTGCTTGCTTAACAAGTCGTCCTTAGAGAACATTTCTTTGTAATCTGGAGCAAAGGCGCATTCCCTGTGCCAGACACCGCACTTCAGCTTGGGGTAAGCCAAATGAAAGCCATCCTGCGTGTACAAAGTGGCGGATGAAGGCCCACAGACCACAGGCTCGGGGAGCCACCCCTCCAGTGCTCCAAATGCCACCAAACTTTGCAGGGATTATCTGCTCCTTGGCGACATTTTGGGTGAGGGTTGTGTAGTGCTTGAACTGGTGTTCAGTTGCAAGTTCAGAAGGACCCCAAGTGTTAAATCAACAGTTAACAGCAATGGCGGAAAGTGGCTCATGTTGTAATGTGTTACCACACTTAACAAAGGGGCTTCAAGAAGTTGGTGAGGAAATTGCATTATCTTTTCATTCCATTTTTCCGTAGACATTTTGAAGACCCCTCATACAGTTTTGTTGACTTTATTTTCGAGCCAGAGTAGAGGTTTTGTTGAGTTGCTTTTTCAGCCCAGGGACTTCTGTTTGCTCTGCCAGACAGCTCTGGGACCTTCTGCTCTTTGACTAGTGTGTTATTTGAAATAAGAGTGGAACTTTTAATGTGGAACTCAGCTTCACAGCCCAGTGACTTCATCCTTGCCCCCACCCCCCTGCCCATTTCTCTTCTCTTACGTCCGCCCACATATGCTTTGGGTTTCCTGAACCTGCAAACGATGGCCCCATTTGCACTTTTTAAACAAAGCATGGCATGCTTATTCATAATTCCTTAAAGACTGCTCTCTGCCTGACCCAGTGGGTCCTATGTCGTCAGTCACCATTTGTAAAACTTGGCCAAGTGATGCTGTAGATGTCCTTGCGTGGGAAAAATAATCACTTCAAGAGCCTGTTTTCACGTGCTTATTGCTTTCTCCAAAATAGCCCATCATCTAGGCTCTCCCTGATAGCAGATTTAAGGGATTATCTTTTGATTAAATGGTGCAATCATACCGCATGGTTAAAACTTGAGCAAGAATAAAAAAGTCCACTGGGAAATTCGATGGGCAATATTCTTGACTCTTAGTGTCGCATGAAAGAAGATGAACTGCTCTCTCTCCTAGACACTCCCACTTGTGCGTAGGTTCCTTGACTGCCTTTTTAAAATTACAAATCTCCTCCACTTCACAGAAACGGCTCTATGAAGCTCTTGTCTTCATCGTGGTTTTCCTCATAAAAGCAGCTCTATCACCAGGGGAAATACCCTGTGACAGACTTGAAGTAAATCCAGAAGGCTGTTGGAAGACATGAAACAGACCCTTGGCACAAAAGAGGGATGTTAGCTGTACCTTCAAGATTTCTGTGCATTTGTCTCAACCTCAGAGTCACCTTTTCTTGTGACCAAAAAAGCCCCCATATTTTTCCAGATTCTTCTGCCCTTTGGGGTCTTCTGTTGTGACACAGCCCCTGCCCTTTCCTGGGTAATAGGAATGTGTCAGGAGACAACTAGTCAATTGGCAAGTCTGAGTCACAAAGATAATGAATTATAAAGATAATTATCATAACGATAATAGTCTGGTGAATAGCATTGGGAGATCTTAAGAGCTTGTGAATGTGGCCATCTAAGAAGTAACTATTGGTCTCACCCCACCTGGAGCAAAGGTGAGCAAAGAAAAATGAAAACTCAGGAAGTCATTAGTCCAATGGCCCACAGGAACCATGCCTCCTCTGCTCTGAAACTCAAGAGAACTAGATGGCACCTAGTTGCCACTACTGCCCACTCAAGAACACTATAGAAGTTAGGATGTAGAACATCTCAGTGTGATGGAGCGATTGAATTATGTGATAGGTGAACATTTCTTTTAAATGTACAAAACAATTCAATTTACAAGCAACAACAACAAAAGACTAAACTTAGTCTGAGAGACTAGAGGAAGCCCCCAGCTGTTGCCTTGAGTCAGCCTTTTTGGCTTTAAACTGAAGCCACTGCCTTTCATTTTAGCCAGATAATGGCCAGGGATATGAAACAAACAAAGAACGGGATGGCCTCACACGGTGGCTGCAACAGTGACTCGGGCATGACACCACCTGTAAGGCTAACAGACAGGCAGTGTTTGTTCTGTTGTCCACACAGTCACTGAGTCAGAACCAACTAGACGGCACCAGCAACAACATCTGTAGGAGACCAGAAGGCCGACGCTGGCCCCACATCGGCAATGGGAAGACAGACGGGAGCCCAGAGGAAGTAGGGAGAGTGCTGGTATGATACGATGCGGAGTGTGCAACCAACGTGACAAAACAGTCTGTGCCCAAGCTACTGACGGGAAGACTAATTTGCCTACAAAAACTCTCACTTAAATCACAATTAAGTGTATATATTTTTTCACTTTTCAGTTCATTAGTTAAATGGCTTCCCCCTCCATAAACATCTTCTGGTTCGGTGTCAGTGAAGGTATATAGATAGCACCTTCTAGGCGAGTTGTTCTATTTCACCTGCCTTTATCTTATCTAGTGTCATTCTGCCAAATGTAGCCTTCACTTCCATGCAGCATTTATGGAGATAAATTAAGGATGTGGTCCAGTCTTCAAATACAAAGGATGTTGCTTAGAAGAGGGAATATTGGTTAGAATTGACTGAATATGAGCACCCTACTCCCTTGAACGTTAAAGCCCTCTGCTTGGATTTCTCCCTGCCTCCCCTCTCCTCCTGTCTCCAATACAGCGCCTCTGCTTGCCTGTCTCAAAAGAAACTATTGTTTACACATTGTCTTTGCCTAGGACCTCCATGTATGTGATACATTTCAAGTGCCCAGATAGACGATGTCTCCGGTTTCTGTGGCAATACACAGACTTTCCTTCTTTCACCAGAATGTTGCTCCCACCTTCAAAAGTTTCCTCTTTTTATTCCCATTTCAGGCTCGGTTCTCTTCCACTTCATGCCACAGTAGACTGTTACCCTCTGTTAGTATTGCCCATCATACACAAAGAACATAATGTCCTTCAGGGGGAGGGTAAAAGCCAGGGCCATTAGTAGCCTTGTTCATGAAGAGAAATAAGATTTGTTTTAACTGAGATATGAAATTTCTCATTAGAATTGATAAGTGCTTATCAATTTGGGAATGGTTATCAACTTGGCATAGGGGCAAAGCATTGAGACAGAAGTCAGGGCATCTCAATTTTGTGGTTAACATTCTCTTTTTGTCATTGACCTTGTGTGGGTTTCAATATCCTGCTTCCCCAAACATGCCACGTCGATGATGTAGATGGAATAACAAACATTCTAAAATGGTGTACCCGCAAGGAATGGTTTTTTTGTGGTTACTGCTGCCGAGAGCTACCACCAACAGTTGATTCCTTCTTTCCTTACAGATTCCAAATCTATGCAAGACGGCTGGGGGGAGAGTGACGGGCCAGTGACAGGAACTCGCCATCCCAGCTGGGAAGAGGAGGAGGACGGAGGAGTCTGGAACACAGCCGGCCCTCAGGGAAGTGCTGCCTCCCACAACGCTGCAAGCTGGGGACAAGGCGGGAAGAAACAAATGAAGGTAGCCTGCTGTCTTGGTGACTGATCTTACTTTATTCTCCCTTAGAAGACAGAACTGAGAATTTGTTCAGGGAAAGAGTGGCTAGCCGGTGTCCTCAAGGGGTACGAGTAAGGGGAAAGGATTTCCCTAAAAACAAATGACTGCCCTTTCTTCCTCCATATTATGATAATTCGGTAGAAGCCACCAAGACATACTTCATAAATGCTTGGAAGCCACCAAGATGCACTGCATGGACTTTTTCCATCTGAAAGCCAAAGACTTTGTCAGGGTAAAGCTCCATGAATATGTAAAAGAGAAACCAAAGTAAGATGATACCGGCTTCTCTGGTGGCAGTCAGCATCATGGGGTTTTCTCTCCTCCCAATTCCAGAAATTCCAAGACCCAGAACCCTTTTCCTGACAAAGTGAAGTACTAGTTAGTGGGCAAGGCGGCTGCAGGCACAAGGTGGTTTGTCTATGTCTTGTACCATGGTGTGTTATCAACTGGTCACTCTCTGTCTTTAGAATAACTCAGATTCCCTTGCGGTCTGTAGAATTTACTGAGGTCTTTGGTTTTTAATCTAAATAGAACGGTGGGGTCTTTGAACCACCCTCTCGGCAGAAGCACTGTGTGTGTCCATTGTAGCCGTTTATCCCGTATTGAATTGGGTGCAGCGATGCCGTCCTTCATTTCGATGTGAGACCTGCTGCTCCATGGAGCACTTCTGTTCTAACGGCTACGTCCCCCAGGTGCCACCCAAAGGGACTTCTGGCAGTTAAGGGTTAGACTAAGCCTTTACCCCCTCGGCCTACAGGGCAGAGGTTGGAACCTTTTTCTGCCAAGGGCCATCTGGATTTTTTAATATATATATATTAAACTTGCAGGCCACATAAAACTTGCAGGCCATATAAAACAATCAATTTAAAAACTAGCCTATTTGAATAAATTAAATAACTAATCCGCCTCTTTGGTCAAACAGTTAATGAACTCACCCCAATGTGATGGCTGGAACTGCTTCGCTTTGATGAGGCATTTGGTGTTAGCCGGTGTTCATGATTTTAAGGACATTCCCCACCCCTGCTCTAGGGTATTAGTTTTGTTCTGAAAACCTTAACCTTCTTCTGGAGCCCCTGGTAGGTGCAGAGAGAGCCCCGGTGGTGTAGTGATTATGCATTGGGCTGTGATCTGCAAGTTGGGCAGTTTGAAACATCAACAGCCCCTTTGGAGACAATGGAGCTTTCTAGCCCCATAGGGTTACAGTCTCAGAGTTCGCAGGGGCAGTTCTTCCCTGTCCTTTAGGGTAGCTGTGAGTCAGCATCGACTCAATGGGCAGGAGGGTTTTTTTATGCAGGGGGAAACTGTGAACTCACTCTGCTGTTAACCACAAGGTTGCAAGTTCAAGTCCAGAGGCACCTTATAAGAAAAACACGAGACTCTACTTCCAAACCCTTGGTCACTACAAACCCTGTGACACACAGTTCTTCTTGGACATCTATGAGGGGACCAAGAGTCAGAATGACCCCCACAGCCATGTGTTGTTTGTTTGTTTGTTTAACTTCACTGTAGAGTTCTGCTGAGAGAAAGATGGAGCTTTCTACTCCTGTAAAGCGTTAGAGCGCCTCAGAAACTCACAGGGGCAGTTCTCCCCTGTTCTGTAAGGTCACTCTGAGTCTGCGTCAGCTGATGGCACTTTGTTTTCAGTAGAACCGTGCAGCGACTTTTTGTCTCAGCAGTCACACACACTTCTCCTTTGAGGATTTCTGGTTCCTAACCCTAGTCACAAAAGAAATAGTGAAGTAAACTTCTTTTTAGATTATTATGGTTATCATTATTGGTCATCTTATGTGATCTAGCTCACTTTTGCCTTTTGTTTGGTTCTTTACAAGTTAATGGTGAGTTCAATGAAAGGGAAGTTCAGAGTTCTGATGACTGGTTGGAATCCAGCAGCTAGGTGAAAAGTGTGAGTGTCCCACTCAAGGAACAGCCAAGAGTTCCTTAGCTGGCGTACCTGGGGAGTGAATGCTTCTGTTCCATACACGGTGATTCTGGCTTCACAGGCTCAGGGCTTTGGGGGGTTGGAAAGCCTGCTACTGAACTGAAGATTACCTCATCCCTTTCAAGAATAGTAAAATCGATTTAGCAAATATTACCACAGTGCAGGCCTAATGTTTGCCTATAGACTGCACAGGTGCTCTCGGCCCCAGCATCCCCTCCTGCTCTGCACATTCCTTATCAGAGTGTCACCTGCCTTTGCACGGAAAGAAGAGTGAGGCCAAGGACTGGCTCCTTTGGGCAGAGACGTTTAGCTGAAAAACCAACCCCACCCCCAACAAAACTGAGCCCCTCTCCCCAGGGGATGGGGAATGTGTCTTTCATGGTCTTTCTATGGGTGACCAGTATCCTTTGGTCTGAAAGATTAATGGACAAAAGCACTACTCTTTACTGGGCTCCTCACTGCATCCACACAGAGAATAATGACCAGCTTAAAGAGGCCCCTCGATTTAAATAGCCTGCGGTGTCGTTGCCCATCGTTTCCCCTAATACAGACTACCTTGGGGCCCACGGGAAAGCACTAGCAGGCAAGAATGTTATTTTAGAAAATTTAGTACCGACTTCCTTCTCTTTGAAAAGTAGAATGCTAGGCGGTGGTAGATTTTGCTAGTACAGTCTAGTTGAATGTGTTGAATAAAAATAAAACGAAACACAGATCTAACTGAGGCTTCTTAACTCACAGAAGCCACCAAGTGGGGCATCCCCATTGACGGTAGTCAGAGAGGAGTGAGCTGGGCTCCAAAGCACAGCCGTCGGTGCTGCGGTTTCCGTTGGCACTGGCACCACTGCGCCACAGGTTGAAATAAAATAATCCGGTTCTGAGGTTTCGCATTTCATTTCTGTAGTGCTCACTGAAGGGAGGAAACAGTGATTCGTGGATGAACCCGCTTGCCAAACAGTTTTCAAATATGGGATTGCTGGTAAGTTTCCTTTTCATGTGTCCTGTAGCCCAGTGTTCGCTGAATGCAGACTGTGAGCCCACTGCCACGTCCGGTGCCGGGTGGCAGATCCAGAAGCTGGCTGAAGCTGGGCGCTGCATCTTTGGGGCATAACCAGTCTTTGTGCCTAGTTCCTTTCTATCCCCCACTTACCCCCGCCCTGCTGAGAGTGCCCCTAGCGTGTAAGGCTGTCGCTTTACAGTTCACAGTCACGTCCTGCTTCTTCGGAGGACAAAGACGGCCCCCTGGCCACTGCACCACTTCAACTTTAAAAAAACACAGCAGTGATTTGCTAACTAGACAACTATTCGGGGATTAACTAACTCCATGCTACATGTGGAATTCTGCAGAATCACTCATTTCTCTGCCTCTTGGGAACATGGAGAGACCACCCTGTCCCCGTTGCCAGAAGACAAATGCCTTAACTTGGCTACACGGTTCAAGATCTGATGGCTTGACAAGTCACGAGAAAAAGTTGTCATCCCTTGGCTGCCACTCAGGGAATTTGATCCCAGGCTGCTGGGAACTGGAGGACGTCAGTTGGTTTCTCCAAGCAGCTGTTTAGCTATTGCTCTGACCGACGATTTACTGTGGCGAGTTGTGGGTGAAAGGGAATTTTAAAAACCCAGGAACAAAAGCACCCCAAAACTAACTGTGTAAGAAATAAATAGTTCAAAAAGATCGAAATGGCAAGGCAAGTGAGGCAGATGGCTGGGTGACCCAGTTTGCCCTCCACTGGTCGGTCACCCAGGGTCGGTGGTTCAAACCCGCCCAGCAGCACCAAGGAAGGCGCAGGCCTACTGATCTGCCTCTGAAAGATGACAGCCCAAACGGAAGCTCAGTCCAAGGCTGTCACACAGACAGGGTTAGTTACAGTCTTCATTTCAGTGTGAGATCCATGGCATAGCACCGTGGAGAGGGCCATCGGAGAAAGTCAGAAACTCGCGGGGGCAGGTCTACCAAGGCGCACTGGTAGTGCGTAGCAGGTTACGTGTTGGGCTGGTAACCCGAAGCAAAAACAAAGTGGAGGCCTTCTGCTCCCATAAAGATCAACAGTCTGAGAAACCCAGAGGTTCAGTTCCCTGAGTCACTGTGAGTCAGAATCAACTCAATGACTATGTGCTTGGTTTTTTGGTTTTGTACAGTGCCACAATAAAAATGTGACTCTTCCGTGAATAATGATACTTCTTTTCTGATTTGAACATGGGCAGCCTTCATCTTTTCTCACCTGTTTTTCTTTCAGAGTCAAACGGAAGACAACCCCAGCAGTAAGATGGACCTCTCTGTAGGTGGGTACCATGTTGCTGGTAGTGTGTAACACCATGCTCCTGTCAGGACCCTCTGCTCCATTTGAGTTGGAATCCGGGTCCTTTAAGCACTGCTTACTGAACACTTATTCTTGGAGAGGTCCTGTCCTGGACACAGGTGCTAGAACCAGGAGGGTCAGGTCCAGGGTATGATGGGTGCTGGGTACCAGCACTTGGAGGGGAGTAGAGGGCCAATGAGCCAAGCGAAGCTTATTATCAGTATATACTTATATATTTTTTAATAATATATGTATGTTTGAGACATTGTCACCAAAGTAACCCCAAAAGCTCTTCTGTCAAGCTATAACAGATAGATGTTTGCAGGGGGGAAGGGACATGGGTCCTGGAGAGAGGCTTCATCGGTCTGCACCAGTGAGTTCTCCCCCTCTCATCCTGTGTTAGTCTTGGTTGACTAGGAAACAAATCCAGGACACTGGGATGTGTGTAAGAGAGAATTTGATACATCAGAGTAATTGAATATTGAGAAAATAGCCCAGTCCAGATCAAGTCCATAAGATCGGTATTAGCCCATATGTCCGATATGTCTATAAATTCCTCTGCAGGCTCACATAACACTTGCAATGACGCCAAAGGCAAGAAGATCATAGGCCAGTGGGTGGAAAGTCTTGTCGATCCAGTAGTGGTAGAAGCATCTCAATGCTGGAGTGGGTTTCCACATGACTCCTCCAGCTCCAGGGCTCTGCCTCTACCAGCATAGTTCCATGTGGCTTGTCAACAGGAATGTGTAACAGAGAGAGTGTGTCTGGCTGCCAGTGAGCTATTTATCTCTGTAGCGCCTCCACATGAGGCCATCAAGCTGCGACCTGATTGACAGACTAGACTCTACCCTTTCCTCAAATTGACAGTAGATTATGTAACTGCACACATCCCTAGAGAGATGAAAAGGCATCTTCTCTGGCAGCCCAGGGAAGAGAGTGGGTGGGGCAAGTGACTCCTTGTCAGGAAGATGTGGCTTCTTAACTATTTTGCTCTCTCCTCGTTCCAGATAAAAAATACGACGTGGACAAGCGAGCAGTGAATCTCGGGGATTTTAACGATATCATGAGGAAGGATCGGTCTGGGTTCCGTCCACCTAATTCCAAAGACATGGGAACCACAGACAGTGGGCCTTATTTTGAGAAGGTGAGTTGACTGCTTTATTTAAGGGTCATAACTCCTGGGAGGACCTCTTCTGCTCTCATGTGTCTCTTGAGAATTGGTTTCAGGGGGAAGCATAGGATTACTGATTACTGAACTAAATTAACAGGAAGAGCACACATCAACTCCAGTTAAGTGGTGCTACAAACAGCGTCACCAGGATGAGGCAGGACTAGAACCCTTTGTCCTCGGAACGTGAGCACTGGGAGGAAAGGTCTCCCGGTTGGAGAAGTTCATGCACTTGGAGGGGGGAATGGTCTGTGGTTGTAGGAAGGGGACGGAGGCACAACACAGCGAGAGCAGGTAAAATTGCAGGAGCGCCATGCTTTTCTGAATTCTTTGTTTCTGCTACTGCGCAGCTAAGACTCACCCTGGTCTGCTGCGCAAGGTCTGCCCAGGCCTTCCCTTCTGGACTGGAAAAGACCACACAGACTCCCCCAGACTATTGCTTGCCCAGAGGGCTCCGTTCTCACCGCTCCCCTGTGGCGGAATCATCAGCTTTTCGTTACAATGTATGCTTTTCAAATGGCAACGATCCCCGGTTTAGACAAATAGTTGATTCCTATCGGTTTTGTTTTTGAACGTTTCCGAAGGCAGAGGTGCTCCCTGGTCTCGGGAAAGCATTCCAACAGGAATGGGGAGGCCACATCGTTGACACCACTAAGCTGCCTCATCACTGGAAGACTGCTTGGGCTTCTGTTTGCGCAGTTTCCGTCCTCCCGCAGTGGGCAGGATGTGTTACTCGCTCACATCCAACTGAATGACAGACGGTCTCCGTGGGGCAAAGTGTGGCAGTGGTGATTAGGACTGAGCCCTGTCCTTGCTCCTTGCTAATCCGTCTAACTGTTTATTTCTGGTGTTTCTCTCGTTTCCCTTCTTGCATTCTGTCGCTTCACTAACCAACACTCGTTGTGATTGGCTAACTACTGCTTTGCAGCTGACTTTGCCTTTCTCCAATCAAGATGGGTGCCTTGGGGATGAGGCTCCCTGCTCTCCCTTCTCCCCTTCTCCCAGCTACAAGCTGTCTCCCTCTGGTTCCACACTATCCAACGTCAGCCTTGGAGCAATCGGCACAGGGCTCAACCCCCAAAACTTCGCTGCTAGACAAGTAAGAAGGCCTCTCAAATTTCTAACTGCTTGGCTGCGGCCTCGCCTGTGCCCTGCTCTGCAGTTTATTGCATCATTTGTCTGTCTTGGGAAATTGGTTGATTACTGAATGCACAGAATGATGTATTAAGTGTAGATCTGAGATCCTTCCCACCCATAGAACCCATCTCTCATGTTTCTTATCACGGATTTTATTTTTAATCTTTCTTTTGTTTCATGGTTGGTTTTTTTTTTATCATAACTTCACTCTTAAGTTAACTAAGTTAGGAAAATGTTAGAGGCTAGATCGTTACCTTTGCATAACCTATTTGAAGACTGGATTGGGCATTTCCTATTTAGATCGGGTGGCAAGTCATATTTTTAAGTCTTTTCAATGTTATAATCCTGCTAATTCAAAAGTAGAAGAACCATAGGATTAAGCCTGTGAGGGTTAGAGCCATTTAAAAGCGACTGCCTCATAGTTTAGAATATCATACTGATCCGGAGCGTGGGTGACTTTTGTATTAGGGAAGAGTAACTAATGCTCAGACGTGGCAGTGTTTCGTTCAGCCTGGAAAGCCCCTTTCCTAGGCCAGGCCTGGCAGTCCTCCAGGGAGCATTGTGCAAGTGGAGTGAATTAGTAGGCTGAGAGAGTGGTACCTCCCAGACCTCCCAGGTCCAAGGGGGCCCAGGAACTTCTGTCTGTCACACCGACCGCAACGCAGTTGCCCTGTGGTAGTTTCTGTGCAGAAGACAAGGGCACAAGGGACGTGCCGCCACGGTGCCTTGGTGACGGTGGTTCCGCAGATGATCATTCTGCTGGCCGTAGTCTCGGGCCGCTGTTTTGGCATCACGACCTTCACTTGGGTGTGTCTTAGGAGGACAGTGACTGTTGGCTATGGCCACGCTGTCCTCCCAGGATGACTTGCCCGTGTGAGTGAAGGGTCGCTGGACAGCAGCCCGTCAGGTTGTCTTCACACGTTTAAAACAATGGATTAATTAGGGTCTTGTGGGTGCTGGGGCGGCTAGCTCAGGACCGGGAGCTTTCGGTCCTTTTTTTATCACTGCTTTTCTGTCTCCACAAAGGAAAGAGATGCATTTCTCTCTTAGAGAAGCAGCAGATTTGTCAGTGTTTTGGGGGCTCTTTATTTTGGGTTGGGGGTGCAAAAATATAAAGTAATACTAACCCCTTTTGGTTATTGGTGATTTAAATGTGAGTCCAGGATCACATAATAAACAGCATAGCAGAGGGCAGTCTTCATTGCTCTGAGCTGTGGAGTCTCGACAAAGTTCGTTCTGGACCAAGTTGGTCCTCCTGTGCCACCCAACATGGTCCTAGTTCTCTGACTCTTTGCATAGAGTCCATTACTGTACACCACACTTCAAAAAGGAAACCAAGGGTTTTAATATCCCAGACCGTAGAACATTTCCCTCAGCTTGATAGTTTGGCTTTGAACTCACGTATTGTCCGAGTTAATCACCGTATGTAATTGAAACAAATCTCACTAGTTACTCTGGAGAGTTTAAACTCAAAACCAAACTTACTGCGTCAATTCCAACACTCATAAGTGACTTTGTAGGGTATGGGCTAGGAAAACAGCCCTGTCAGTTTCAGATACGTCACTCTTTTATTTTTCCTCCAAAAACAAACGACAAAAAGATGATTTATTGAGTGTAACGTTTCTCCAAATCTGATTAGGGAGACAGCCAGATCAGACCTTGGACTCACACACAAACAGCCCTCCCTCCCCACCAACCAGCACATCTAGCAGAAAACACACCAACAAAGTTCTGTTCAACAGATCAAGTTATCTCCGCTTCTGGAAGATGTTTCCACGGCCCCGTCTTCTTGCCGCCACCTGGGCCTTGAGGATGGCAGCTTTCCCTCGGCCGGCCAGAGCCCTGCTTCTTATTCTTCATGCTCTTCAGCGTGGGCGTGTTCCTTCAGCATGTCTGGCAGGATCAGGAAGCGGATCTTGCTGCCGCGAATGTAGACCTGCTCCAGCTGCGCTACCCACCGTCTCTGTACGTGACCGTGATGTTGGACATCTGGCAGTTCATGTTGTCCTCGGCCTCGATGCGCTTCCCCCGTACACCTCTCCCGTGTTCGTCTCTCAGGTCACCATGTGGCCCTCGGCCTCGTGCAGGACTTTAATTGGCACACCGATCAACATCTTGGCGGGAAAGGGGGTCTGCAGCGAGTGAGACGACGGTGAGCTCTTCTTCCAGAGTCTGCCTCCTTCAGACCTCAGCAGGCCCCAAAGCTCCCGAAGCAATTCCGGCCGCGGCCTGCTCCTTCGTTTGTCCCCGGCGGCAGGGACTCTGGCGCAGAGAGGCGAGCGGCGAGAGAATCGATGTGTCAGTCTTGATGGAGGGGAAAGCCTCCTTCCTTCCTCGGAGGTGCTGGTGGTTTGGCACGGCTGGCCCTGCCGTGTGCAGCCTGCCTGCACCCACTATGCCAGCAGGGCTCCTCATGAGAACCGAGGTCTTCAGAAAAGCTTTAGAGAGGCATCAGCTAGCACCATCTCATAGAAAACTTGATGAACATTTCCTCACTTCTGAATATATCACCCAGAGTGGCAGAACCTATTTGATTGCTGTTGAAGATATCGCTGTGCGATGTAGCTGCATCTGAGCCACGGAGATGGCCAGCTTATGATGCCAACGTGCCATGTGGAAATACAAGAAAATTGGTGTTGTTTTTTTAATTTCAGATAGAGAGATGGGTAGAGTTTGTTTACCAGAAATAAGAAAGTAGGACCTGACTTTAAATTTAAAAAAACAACAAAGCAAATTCATTTGAATACTTTTTATCCAGGACAAGGCTGAAATGAAAGATCACTGCCACTAAGCACGAATTCTGCCTGGAACTTTGACTTTTACAAGCCCATGAGTAGTTGATATCTAATAGCAAGGTCACTGCTTTGATGGTGAAGACTAAGTGAAAAATAGATCGTGGCAGAATAGTCTTAGTGATGTGAATGTGGCCTGTTTTCATGGGATTGAGCCAGCAGACAGCCTGCCAAGGGGAGCCTCCCACCTTGGCACAGTGAGCACCAGCCATCTCACATTCAAGTGATGGTTTGAAGTAGACAGGAGAAGCAGGGAGCTTGGCGTTGCTAGAATTAAAGGGTGTTTTCATGTTCAGACAATCCTCTGAGAGAGTTGGGTTTTATGGCGGGTGTTTGATTTTCTTTTATAAGATACACAGATTTTAATTGCCATTTCTACTTTATGTTCTTAGTCATTTTAATTTTCAAGCCTTTTAAGTTCATTACTTTCCTTATAGCTGTCCCTTAATCTATTTTTGAATGCACCAAACCATAGAAATAACTTCACTATTCTTTAATGTAATGATGCTACTATAAAATTTTCCTTTGACATTTCTTAGGATTCCAGAAATAGGATGATGGTAGTACGCTCAGTGTAGGATTTACATATTTACTGCAGCTGTCTTTGCTGAACATGTTCAGTGGGACATTTCCAAGTACATGACATTGTTGGGTCAAGGATGTTTGCAAGTGATGTGTTCATCCTACAGACCAGGGGAGTCCTCTGACGGAGTCCTGGGGATGCACAGGGGGTGTTACTAAGCTGGTGCGAGAAAGACTGAATGTGAAATGACTAGAACATATTTAATGATTTTGGGGGGGCGGGTGTCTAGAGCTACAGTTAACTGATTTCAATGGGAACCAAAGAAGAAGGTTTGGGAGAAGACTTGTTGATGAGGATGATCTCAGAGTTGAGAAGACCCTCCAGAGGTAGAGGGGATATGTGATGTTGTCACAGACGGTCTCTTTGCTGAAGAACTTTTCTCAGCTGGAGACCATTCATCATACAAAGTAGCTCTCAGTAGTTCTCTGGTTGGAACATTCCAGAAGTAGCCCAGTGATCCTGCCCTCTAGAGAGTTAAACTTGTTTTAGCTAGATTGTAGGCGTCTTGACTGAGCAGGCCCTGGTGAGTAATACCTGGTGTGATGTCCGCGTAAAGCAATCTTATCCTGTTTTGTCACCCTGTGATTGGTTCAGAATTCCAGTTGTAGCAGAGAAGGGTGGACAGGCAGACCCAGGACAGCGAGGTGCGCCCTTGTCTGGACTAGGTTCCTCGTGGGCTCACACTTGGTTGGCAATGCTTTTGTGATTGAACTAGCCAACTCAAAACATAGCGTCATAATGTCACTGTGCAGCTGATTGCAGGCACACGTAGACCTGCCATTTCACTCAGGGGCCCTCCTTTGTAGGGTGAGTCTCAGATGATAAGGTTTAAGAATAAACTTGGTGAAATGAAGGGGAGGGGGGAATGGCTTGGTTAAAATTGTTCCATTGTTCTCCCAAAATTAATTTAGTGCTTATTCTAACTCTGAACTGTCACCTTTCTGGCTTCTGGAGAGGATTCCAGAGGGTGGTAATATGCCCACAGTTCAACTGGAATCGTTTCCCGGAGTGTTCCAAGATCAGGAACTCCTCAAAGGGAAAATTCCATGATCCGTAAAACAGTTGCTGGTTCTTCTGGTGAGCTAGGAAACCCCAACTGGCTCTTATTTGTCTTTTGTCTTTAAACAATTTTTTTTCCCTTTTTCTTAACAGTAACAAAACGTCTGACTCTTGCTGTTGTGTTCACAGGGTGGCAGTCACGGTTTGTTTGGAAACAGCACAGCACAATCGAGAGGCATGCACACTCCAGTGCAGCCACTAACTTCGTCCCCTAATCTCCGGGCGCAAGTGCCTCCCCAGTTCATTTCCCCGCAGGTAAGCCGCTCCGTGTGTGCACGGCGTCGAATTAAAGCCAGTGGTGACCAGCCAGCCGTTCACTGACTGGTCATCATAAAAGGGAGTAACAGCTACCTCTCTCAGATGTGGACAGTCCAGGCGGCACCCAGGGCCAGGAGTCTTGGACCAGAAACATCGTCAGATTGTACAGTTCATACAAAGTAGATGTTGGCATGAAAAAAATGTCAGGTTTATTTTCCTTTCAGATATCGTTTTTATGTAATACTATGTTCTGTTTTTTTCTTATTTATTTTTAATCATTTTATTGGGGGCTCGTACAACTTATCACAATCCATATGTCCATCCGTTGTGTCAAGCACATTTGTACATTTGTTGCCATCATCATTCTCAAAACATTTGCTTTCTACTTGAGTCCTTGGTATCAGCTCCTCAGTTTTCCCCCTCCCTCCTTCATGAACCCTAGATACTTTATAAATTATCATTGTATTACTATGGTTTTTTAAACACATGTACTTAAAAACTGTGAAGTATGACATGTCCCCATGTAGAAGTTGATTGTTCTTGAGACCTACCACCAGATAGAGAGAACTGCTGGGTCTGGGTGACTTTGTGGAGAGGATGCTAAGACGCTGCCTTGATGCTCAGGGGGGTTGGAGAACTAGCAAAGGGCAGAGAATCTTGACTGTAGGCTTCCTTGGGTGACAGCTCGGGCAGGGGGGCAGTCCTGCAGTACCACAGGAACCTTTTAGATCCATTTTTTAGTGCATAATGAGTTATTTTGGGTAAAGAAGCTTTTGCCAACCAACTGCATGCTCGACATCCCATCTGCGAACATAAAGGTTGGCGGTTCAAATCCACTGGGTGCTTGGTGGCAGTCTGTTTCCCCCAGGAGGACAGTGTGGAAACACTTGGGAAATTCTGCTCTTACATGGACTCCATGGCACTCAGCCTCCTGCCTCTTTGTGAGCACACAGCTCTCACGCCCATGTCAGGGGTCTTAGTCTCCGTACGTGTCCCTGTCATGAGCACTATGATCCAGAACTTCTAGTCAGTCCTACAAAGAGCGGGGAAGCGCTCACAAGACCCAACCAATAAGTTGTGAAGGATCAGTTGGCTTGCGTTTATGAAGAGCAAGCTTTAATAATCTACAGATTTCAAATCTGTGCCCCCCCCCTTTTTTTTAAACAATCTTTTTTTGTCTTGGTAGAGGAAGAAATACTCTTTCTCCCCTCATCCCTCCATGGTCCCACCTAGGAGTTTGGAACTCTGCTCCTTCCCTTCCCTCGGCATTTTGGGCACCCTTCAGACCACACTGAGTCCAGCCGGGTCTCCCGGCATATCACAAGGGCAGTGTCTTTTTCCGTTGTGGAGCACTTTGCAACTTCCTGGGTTGCTGGGTGGTGTGTCTGCAGTGTGCCCTCCAGGGGCCTTGGTGGTGGTGTGCATGGGAAGAAAGCACCTTCTCCCCATGTCGGCCTTCTGGAGTTGGCTGGGCGTGGCAGCAGAACAGCCAGTCATCCTTAGAACACAACCAGGACGACTGTAGAAGAGGAAGACTTGGCACAGTTTGGGGCAGTAGGTGAGGCTCATACTAATGGTGACTTGTGAGCTGGGTCTTGAGGAATATAAAAATGGTGTGAATGGGGCTTCTGACCTCCTTTAATTTCATGGGGGGGTGGGGGTGGAGAGAACCACTATCCACAGCCCAAAGTTGATCTTCCTGAGGCTGAGGTTAGACACATGCCGCCTCCCACCCCCCCACCCCCGCCCCAGCCATTCAACCAGTTCAGTGATTTATCACAATAGTCACACAGAACTCACAGACAATACTCGGGATTGTGGGATTTCTTAGAGAAGTAACAAATTACCCATCAGGATCAGAAGTGACTCAGGATACAGTTCTTTAATCAGGATAGCCACTCCTCAACCATTCCACCAGGCAGGCAATGTTACAGAGCCCTTTAGCTCCTCCAGTAAGTGAGCCTTGACCTAAAGGTGCTGAGCTCTCTCCTTCTGTGGACCAGGAGAC